AAATGTAAAATTGTGTCCTACATTTTGTAAGAGGCAAAAAATCTTCTAAAATAGTGCTTATTTTTAAAAATATAAATTTTGTCGTCATTGGCAGACACACAAAAAAGTTACGGGATAGCCAGTGGCGCACAGGCACTAGAAATAGAACATCCTGTATATGTATTCTCTCCAAATTCTATATTTACCTTGCCCTTATATAAAAAATAAGTGTACCAAATTTGAAGTTTCTAAGAAATATAGTTTTCAAATTATTTGAAAAAAATAGGCTATTTATTCTATATTTAGAAGGTTATATCTCGGTAGGCGTGCACTTTTGTATATAGGTAAGTTAGGCTAAATAGTCTTATTTTCATCCAATGAACCTGTGGTCAAGCGTTGTCCATCCTTTTCAGGGACACCCTGTATATTTTGACATATCGGACACTGCTATGGTCCAAAATGCTATCAGCATATCATAATATTCACGGTTTGAATAATTGTGGCCCATTATTTTGCAGTTTGTATTGATAGGAACTTTTACTGTACTCTAACGAATGTCAAAGTATTTGTAATGCTTTTTGAATTGTAATTAATTGTTACATTTTTCAGTTGCTACTGAGCCGTCTATTTCAAACAATACAACAAATAACTCCCTTCGAGCAGTAGCACAACGTGCTGAATCATGTTTAGTAGCAGGTGGTGGAAATTTTAAACAATTCGTTTGTCATAATTGTTTATCAGATGATTAAAAATTAAAAAATTTTATTAGTTTTGGATATTTGTGTCTCGAAAAATATCGGTCTGATTGAAAAATGATAGAGACATTTTTTTATGACCTTATCAAGTTTAGATGATCCCACAGTCCGTGTCCGCAAAGTTTCGTAACACCCTGGATAACCTAGATAAGATGATTTTTAAAATATTTGGAATATATATTAGAACATTAAACCTGTCTCAAATTACATTGATTCACGTTATGAACTGCATATACTATATTACTAGTGAAGGATTTCACATGTATTTAAAGACAATGTTGAGAATTGAGATACTCAAAGTAGAGTTAGTTATAATCGCAGAATGAAGAAATATATGTATTCCATGCTATACTGTCATGCTATACCTAAGACAATTTTTTCCTACTACTACTATTGAAATCCAGATAAGCTACATAAAAATTATGCAGAAACTATGACCATCGAGGTCGCCCACCATGTCGCCATTGGATTTCTTTTTATGAGAGGCTTGTATATCGACACAAGTTCATACCAGGGAAGAAGACCTGATAGAAATAATAACACACCATTGCAACGAAATTCGAAACAATCCTGGAATGTTGTTTTAAGTAGGTACAACGAGAAAACATCCGTCGGATAAGAGAATATATAGAGGTACAAGGCGCCCATTTCGAAAATCTGCTCAAGTAAACAAGAAGAAGCAAAGCTTTCGAATTTTTAACATCATTGCGTTTAAGTGATTTGGAAAGGTATCATAATAAATTCTTGTTGCCTCCACACAATTGCTGAGTGCTTGTCCATAAGTTAAATGCATGTCAGCATTAATGAAATGTAATAATGATAAATTTTATTATTTAATACGAATTATTAGTTATGATGTTATTCGGTTAGTTATTTTCTTTAAATTGCTTATGTTAATAAACTTGATAATTAAATAAATTTATGAGTGTTATACAGAAACCTAATTCTTTAGAAAACGGCTAGTTTTATAGAAACAAATGCAGAGTACCGTTTTTAAAGAGGAATGAGGAAACTATTTAAAAATGCAGTTTTCAGCTTTATAAAATGAAACCTGTTAAAATTTTGGGCCGACGAGTGTTCCGTTCTTGACTTCCCTGACAGTGTAAAACATCTACTGAAGTATGGTTTATTGAGCCTTTATGGCCTACATAAAATATTGAAATTTTATTAGTTTTAAAAGTTAGAGCCGAAAAGGTAAATCGCTGGGTACCCCTTTGGGGCTCTGTATCTCCGTTAAGGGGCATTTTAGGATTTTTTATGACAAACTAGGGTTATTTTCACCACCTCCAAGAGTTTGCCATATACTTACCAGACACCCTGTATATGCTATATTAATTAGCAAAATAGCTATGCGACAAGGTCAAATGATTGTTATATAACCAGAATATAAAAATAATGTCGATGAAGAAGAAGACTTAGAACGGATATGAAGCAACTTTAAAAGAACAAGAATTACAAACTTACTGTGAATAGACTTAGTTTTTGTGTTTCTAAGTCATAAAATGTAAATTTTTAAATTTTGGATATAGACTAGCCTTGCTTTCAAGCGAGGAAATATATGTCTTCTGAAATAGAATAGAAATATATATTTAAAAAGAGAAAGTAACTACAATTAATAACAAAAGTTACTAAGCGGAATGATTCTAACAATTGGTGCATAAACCGATGTACGAGTAAGCTAAGTTTTGACGCTGAGCTACTAGTATTTACAGAAAATTGTCCAGATATTATATTAACCACTACTAATTAAGGATTGTATGTATATGCATATTATGATGTCGAGCATTTACATTTGCTTAATATTCAAGTAACTAGGTACTTATTCGTTTTTCGACAAGTGCATAATTATTAATTTTTTAAATTAGTATGTATTTAAAAAAATTTCTATGATTTAGTTTTAAGTATGTAAAATAAACAACGCGTG